GTGCTCTGAGAAGGTGTTCTGGAGCTCCCTGAAGGTCACATGGTGCTCTGAGAAGGTGTTCTGGAGCTCCCTGAAGGTCACATGATGCTCTGAGCTCCTCGGTTTTCTCTGTTCGATATAATGAAACGGGGGAGCGTTTTGCTTTGTTCTCAGCTTCTAACTGTGGTGTAACTTTTCACTCACACGTCTCCATGTGGTGCATAGCCAGGACCTAGCATGGTTCCAGTTCATTTAATTTATTTTTAGTAACAAATATGTTTTCCAGATATATAGTACCAAAGTTGATAGCTAGTACCGAATTGCAGAGACTCTTCCATGTTCAAGGGTCCAGTGGTGACATGAATACTCTGTTGGCTACGGTATTCAAACCCACAACCTTCTGGACAGAAGCACAGATTCCTGACCCACTGCCCTACACACCAACTAAACTATATGCTTCTGACAGGACTCCATCTGCTAAAGCCTTCTCCTCCATTGTCTTCTGGCATTCTTTCTCCCTGATTCATGCACCATTTTGGATGAATGGCGTAATAATGGATTGCCACACACTCTTCTCAAGTGCTTTGGGGTGACTCTGTTGTGAAAGGCGCTATATAAAAAAAGAAACAAATAGATGAAAGCGAGAAAGGGGGACTAAAATTGTCTGTCCTATGTCCCAATAGAGTATGAATGTGTATGCGTGTGTGCCCTGTGATGGACTGGCATCCCATTCTGTGCCGTCCTGCACAAAAACCCTGAGCTGCATAAGCAGTTGGAAAGATGCATGCATTATGCACTATGTCTTTTAACTCCTGGACCTCCCAAATGAGTAATAGGGATGTTCTGTTGTAATTGGGCGCCCTGTCCCTTTAAGAGGGACCACACATTAGCCTTACTGTTCTAAGAATGGCAGGCTTTTCTAAAAAGCTGGGGATGCTGGCTGACTGTCGGAGATACTGTCGCTTTATCTATCGCCTTCCATTTGCAGGTTTGCCGTGACCCCGGCGCTGGCTAAGCAGTTATGGAAAATGGATGGATGGAATTCAATTTGATTCACCGGTTGAATGGCAACGTATTGCACTCTGGAGAGGTAATGAATGCCATCCATCTGTCTGCCCGGAGTTGTTTATCCGGTGCAGGATCTTCGGGGCACCCTGGAGAGGATGTCAGTCCATCGCAGGTCATGTATGCCTTAAGGTCTCAGGGCTTCCCAGTGAACCACCGTACTGGCGCATGCGATCTTTCACCAAATGCCGACATTTCGCATTAACTAAACATGCAGCACCTTTAATCGCAGGTGGGACCAAACCCCAGGTACTATGAAGCAGCGATGCTGTCACTCATCGCAGCGCTAAATCACTCCAGCTAGACTGTTAGCTTAGCAGTTAGCTTATCCCGGCTCTCGTTCCTTCACTTGATGTAGGTACTTTGATCCTGGAAGACCTGCCCCAGGAGAGTCAAAGGCTCCTCCTCTTACAAACTCTTTCTCTGTTCTCCTCAACACCCTGGTACAGTTATAGACACTGCGCTGTCTCGGTCCTATTAGCTTTAGTAGCGGTGATGCTACATGAACGCCACTTAACGCTTTACCTCCATTGGGGGGTTCTTGGGCTAAACTAGGCATTCTCAGAAATGGGAATATTCTACATAGAAGCAGTTTAATCGTGATCCAGACCTCTGCCCCCTGCCACTTCCCACCCCCAAGTACCTCAGGTACCTCAGACAGCTTGGAGATGCATGTTGAGGGAAGGCCCTCACAGGACCCCTCACAGGACCCCCGAGGACCTCGTGGCGGGGGTGTGCTGAGTCAGATACCTGAGGGGTTTATCGGTGAGCAGAGGACTGGAGGACTTGCGGCTCAGTGAACGAGGGCGACATAAACGCTCACCCGGCACATTCCGCCTGACCTTGACGGCCACCGTCGATGGGGAACATCTCAAAATTCTGTGGTCCAATTAGCTGAGTGCAGCCGGCCTTAACATTACTACCGACCCGATTGTCTCACCGGGGCCTGTATACCCCTGAGACTGTATGACAGCCGCTCGCCGTTCCGGAACTTTCCGCGCATCGATGTCTATGTTAAATTGGTGATAACTAAAAGTACGGCTGTTATTCACAAGCAGCGAGCACCTCGTGCAGAACGCTGACTGCAATGGACCTCCGCCATTACGTTTATGCAACTGACGGTTTTGTCCAAAGCGACACGGAGTTGGGAGAAAATGTACAATAAAGAGGATAGGTCACAATTTATACACGCTCCCTGGGATTTGAACACGCAACCATTGTGTTGGTAGTGCAATGGTCTATTTGCTGAGCCGCAGCAGCGAGCACTAGGACTGGAAACCTGTTTATCTTCTCAGATGCTCCTCCTCTCTCCGTCTCTTTTTATCTTTCCCAATGGCTATATCTATATGCCGTGATATATATCAGCCGCTGTGTTCACACAATTAATTTTTAAAAGACTTACCATAGATGCTGCACTAATCTTTCCGACCACATACAAATCACCGCAAAAACCAGAATCATTTGATTGCTCTTGCCTCCCACTGGAATTCAATCACCTGCATTCGACCCGCCGTTCGGTTCCAACGGCGCTTAATCGGGCCATTTCCGTCTGAAGATTAATTTCGTCAGCTGTCAGAAAAAGCTGAGATCTGTCAAGCACAGCGACTGGGAACCAAATAAGAAGAACACTTTGTTTCGGATGAGATGTGCCAGGCGATGACATGGTGGACACATCTCCAGTCTAGTCCATCTAGAAGAGCCGTTGACTTTCTCAGGAACACCCAAATACTAGCAGTCACTTGAATGCCTCTCTTACGCAGGTAAGAAGCAATCGAGCTCCCTGTCCAGATCAGAATTAACATACCGGACACAGGGCGTTAAACTCACCTGTGAAAAAACCTTTCACAGTTTTGTCTAACAACCGGTACCTCCTTAACCATTGAGTAGCCTGATGTTGAGGCTAATGTTCACTGCCCAGGTGAGTTTGACCTCCAGTGAAGGACTTCACCACTACCCCCCCCCCCCCTCCCCTTGGGTCATGAGCACACCCAGACATTAAGCTGCTTAGAAGGATGCTTGATCCGAAGGGACTTGACAAGGCTTACAGTTTTAGCCATGGCTTCAGTGAGGTGGACACGGAGGTTAAGACGTTGAGGACTACAGACGTGTGTGTGTGTGTGTGTGTGAGAGAGAGAGAGAGAGAGAGAGACCTGATATGGACTGAAATCCTACCCAGGGTCTCCCTTGCTTTGAGCCTCCATGGACAGACTCCACCTCATAGTGAACCTGTCAGAACAGAAGATGGATGGGTAGATGGATGGATGTTCATGTCTATATGGTATCACTCATGTCCAAGTGGTGCAAAAATGTATTTTTTTTGCCAGAGATAAGACACTAAGCAGATCCAGTCTGGAGAAAGCATGTCAATTAACACCTTCATGATACTGTATAAGACAGCAAGTCATTATTTTTCTCCCAACTGCCATCTTTGGGGCCATCTAGTGGGTATATTGAGAACCACAACTCCCAGAATCCAAAGGTTATGAGGACCCGCTGGGTGTGGGGATGCATGTGTGTGTCCAGAAGTCAGAGCAAATACAGAGAATACAGAATGAGCTCTGCTCCCCCCTGATCACAAGGGACGACCAGGGAGTAGAGCACGGTCGTTCTTAATGGCACACCCTCGTTAAAGCGGCCTTTTTGCCGAATCCCCCCCCCGGGCCCCCCCATGTGCGGTAACAGGCGTGCCGCTCAGGACCTCGCGGACCAGTCTCCATCTCTCCATTTACCCAGACCTCCAATCAAATCAGGAATCACCATAATCGCATTGTGCCTGATGGGGGCTGAATAGCACGGGATTTGGCCGGTGACGGGAACGCCTGCGTGATGAGCGAGAAAACGGAGAGAATCGTTCAGTATTCAAGCAAAAAAATAAAAATAAAAAAAGCAAGGAAATTTCTATTAGGGAAGGGATTTGGTTCTGTGATGATAATTTGGGCACCTGAGCAACCCTTGTGGACAGATGCAGAAACTGCACCCATTTCTGCATGACTGAATGCAAAGCACTTAACCTGTGAGCCTACAGAGACAGAAGAAGAGCAATTATTATGTCCTGAACTGCAATGATATCCCCGCTTCGTTTTAGAAACAGGGAGCTCACTTTATTGCCTTGATGCTGAAATCCAGGGGGATTCTGTTTTTCTTTTTGGGTTCTGCAGGTTTCTGCCAGCGTTCGGGTGTGTAAGGTGGGAGCGAGCTGTGTTTTGGAGCGGGAAGCATGGCTGGGTTGTGTGCAGCACTGTCTGTGTATGCATGCCTCGGAGCAGTGATTCCCGGCTCAAAAAAGGCAACAAGAAGGAAAAAAATCTTCAATAAAATCATCAGGGAAGGTAAATTAACAGATATTCATTCTAGGACAGGGTCAAATGTGATTATTCAGGAAATGTTAGGTATGTATTGTAAATAGACAATACATGATACTTTGCCAGGATAAATGTGATTTTGAAAGTTTGATTACATACAATATTTTTTTTTATTTCCCGGGTGACAGCAGATACAGTTTCAATGTGCAGCACTCAGTGATGAAAGGCAGTTGTCACTGATCACGTGATCCCTTCATATCTGAGATACTGACCACTCCTGAGCTGTCACGTGCACAAGGCGATGCCCGTTACTGCTGTTAAACGTGCTTCAGAACCATCCTCTATCAGTGTATTGTGGGAACGCTTTTTAGTGACGGACTGCAGCGACCTGAAGTACCCTGAATTACTGATGCAGGATGACAAAATGATGTGATTTAGATGGAAGCACCGCGATCAGCAATATGAGGGAAAAAAGACATCTACTATATCATACCCAATGAAATCCAATATCACATTATCGTTCCCAGTGCACTTCGCCAATGTGTACTCTGTCTCCCTCTACTGCTAAAGTGAAGAATTGCAGACGGGATGAAGGCGCGGAGCTCAAGACGATGTGAATGTTTGGCTGGTGATCGAGACCAAAACCAGACGATGAACTTTGAGGTAGAGAGCAGAACAAACATTCCTACTGGAGAACCACTGAATTTCCCAATGAAACACATCTATGTTGAACCAAGAAACCCAGAACCAATAAAACAGATCCAAAGCTGTATGTATTCAAATAAAGCACAATAATTGTATCCCAATGAACTGTTTCTGAAGGAACCATTATATTCTAAACCAATATAGTTCACATTCCCCAGGCAGATGGGGATGACAAGTCTAATTTACAGGGGCATTGTGAGTTGTCATCATGTTGCCATTCGATTGGGGCTTACAGGGGCGTGGCAGTGACAGGATTTCACAGCCAGTGTCTGATTGGCTCATTACTTCACCCCTCCCACATGCATAAACATGCAGGCTCTCCAGTCCTTTAATATATATTTATATATATCAATGTGTTTTTATTTCAGCCTTGTCACAGTCTGGTGTTGACATCCTGTTGACATATTTTGCTTGATTGCCTCTTTTCCAATTTGCATTTTTCATTTCTTAACATTTTGCCATTTTAACTACTTGTTGATGTTAATCTGCATAAAAAGTAACATTTTATTTGCAGGTCAGGTCAGGTTTTTGGGATGACCTCACAATCGGCCAATAATAAAGCAGCGCCTCTCAACTCCAGTCCAGGGGACCCTCTGTTATTGGCTGATTGTGAGGTCATCCCAAAAACCCACACCGGCTCCCCGTGGAACAGGTTCCCCACCCCTGTAATAAACCATAAACATCATTAGGCTGCTATATACACTAACACTCATACATTCATTCTTTATTACTACTTAATCATGGCAGGCTCATGGCCATCCTGAAGCTTGTCCCACAACACCCCCCCCCCCCCCCCCCCCCCAAATTTTTGAACCCCCCTGTTCTCCCTTACATGGTATGTCTGTATTCTGTCTGTTGAAGTGGTTCTGAAGTTCTGGTCCAGGCTAAATTGGCCAGGATTTACATTCTAGACATGCAGGACTGGAACATATGCTTTCGTATTTACCTGCTTAATTGGGTCCTGTTAAAGCCACCTACCATTTTCATATTTTTACACTGAATAGCTTAAGGGCAGCATGGTAGTGCATTGGTTGGCACAGTTGACTCAAGCCTTTGGGACCAGGGTTCGAGTCCCTGTTGTGGCTCCATGTGTGGAGTGTCCTTGTTCTCCAGTGTCATCATGGAGTTTCCTCCAGGTTCTCTGGTTTCCCATTCACAGTCCAAATACATGCTGAGTTTGATTGGGGTTACTGAAATGCCCATCAGTGTGACTGTGCCCAGTGACAGGCTGGTGCCCCATCCTGGGTTATTCCCTGCCTTGTGCCCATAGCCTCTGGGATAGGCTCTGCACCCCCCGCAACCTTGAATAGTATAAGCAGTTACAGGAAACTGGATGGATGATCAGTTTATCAGATCAAGTACTAGTGTTATGTTCTACCAGAGACCCTGGGAACTGTACAGGACACAGATCCTGAACTGCTCCACTCTCTATTGGTGCTTTCGATGCATTGACCGCCGCAAACATTTAAGCACTGCTGTACACCACAGAAACATTCAGGCTCCCCCAAATAACAGATGATCATGTCCGTAAATAAATATTTTAGATTAGCATTTTTATAGATGTATATTCTATTAATCAATTTCGGTATAGAAAGCTCGGGGTTTTGGAATGTTTAGTTTTGACTACGATTTTTGGTGAGCTATTCCCATCTGTTATCTCACCGTGGTGTTCAGCGCCACCGCTGAGCTGAACGGGAATTGTTTATCATTGGCCACCAGATGGTGCTCTTGAAACCACCCATGACCAAGTAACATTGGCATATTACACGCTTTCTGATCTCTAAGAATTATTGACACGATTTTAATGACAAGGAAGATTTTGTTTGACAGATAAATGCGCTGTGTTTCGATAAACCACACAAGGAACAGAGCAAACGTTTTTTTTTAATCCTGGTTTGTGTTTGCCACGCTTTCGTGGTCAGATGCTTCTTGTCCTTGCGGTGCCAACATCTGTGGGTGAGTTTTATGTTAAAGAGAATCGCGCCTTCAGCCGTTACATTTCAAGCCAAACTGGGGGCACAATAAATGCCAAATTCGGTCTTTCCTACTCTCTAAAGGTCCTTATGGATGCAGGAAGACCACGAAAGCGTGATGCCCCTATACTCAGTCACTGCCTGGCACCGCTGTGCAATCGAGTGTAATGAACTGAAAGGATGAATCACACTGAAATGGTTATGAGGGTTGCTGTTCTTGAAGCCTCCGGACAGAATAAAAAAGGAAAGCGGCATCATGTGGAGTCAGCCTACCGTACTGAACACGAAATTATAGTGCCTCTCTTATTCATAATGTAAATTTTCATACTCATGTCACTTAATTTTTATTGAAACCGTTTCTTTTAAATTCAGCGAATACGCTTTTGTCTCACTTTATTTCAATATGATTAAATAGAGTCTGATATATTGTATTTTAAACATTTTAATATATTTTAATATATAATTTAATATATAAAAATAAATATATTTAATATTTATTAATGTGCTTCGGTGGGTGAAATCTATCCCCCTTACAGCACACTGTTTCCAAAATTACACATCAACAGCTTTGCATGGTGTTTTTATTGCGATTCCGCAGGGCGATCCTGAGCCGCTTGCGCGTGCTGTGCGACGCCCGAGCGGCATGACGTCATAGTGTTTGCCTGCCGTCCGCCGCCGCTGCTCTCCCCACTGGCGCCCCCTTGCGGGCGGACGGGCGCGGCCGCAGCAGCGCACTGAGAAGTGTCGGCGTTATCCTTGAGAAGTAGCTCGGAGCTCGAGATCGAGGTGGAGATTTATTTTGAAACCTGACGCGCAGTAAATTAAACTTCTTCCTGTAAGGTAAGCAAAATATCTTTTGTTATTTAAATAATGAAATTGCTGGTTTTTTTGTTTTCCTATTGATACCTTCTCCAGTTTTGTAGATGCGATGTATTCGGCTGCAGAGCGCATAGAATGCAGCGTACCGAGGCCTCCGCTGGGATCCGTTTCTGCCTGTCATCACTATTAGTTTTTAACCCTAAATCGCTGGATGAGTAGCCCGTATTATCTATGCGCACGATAAAAAAAATCCTGTTTGCTAGATCACAAGCCCTCGGATGGTTAAGCCGTATCAAATGGACAGCAATATCTTACGGACAAAATACAGCGTGTATGTGCGTCTCTTGTCACCTACCCACGCTTCGGCGTGTCTTGATTACGGTCCTGGGAGCTGCTTGGTTCTGTCGTACCGTTATTCCTCCTCTTGTCCATGCATTTCTACTCGATCCTGCCCAGCGACGGAATATCGGTAATAGAGGAGATATCGAAGGGCTGGGATCACATCAGCGTCACAGAATTATGTTATTTGCATGTTAGGTAACTTAGATCAGCTATCCTGGTTAGCGGGGCACGCTTGCAAAGAATACCGCGTAAACATACTGTTTTTTCCCCAATATTTATTAATCGACAGGTGTAGGATCTATACTGTCAGTATTATATGTTACCTTAAGATGATTTAAATCACGTGTCGACATGCAAATCGGCTACGAATGTGTCCGTTTGTTTTTCATTATATCTATATGCTTACTGTTTAAATTTCACCAATAATATAATCCGTTTCATTGTGTGTGCCCTTAACTTTCAGTGGTATTGCCGCGAGAAACCTAAGTGGAAATGCATGGGTAGACAGGTGTAATAAATATGAAGAATGATTGGTTTATGTTTACTGCGGGACGTTAAATTGGCTCTACTGCATGATTTGTTAATCTAGCTCTTTCCGGATTAAATAACGTATCCGTGCGTCCCACAACAAAACGTCATACCTGGAATTATAACTCTAGGGTTATGTAAAGTGTTCCTCTCCATTACTTTTGAAAAGGCTTAAATTCCCTGTTTTTTGCTGTATGGGAAGGAGATTGACGTGCAGGAATGATCATTTCTTGGACTGGAAGCCACACTACTAACGTGTTCTGCTCCTTTCAGTGGACAGTACAACTGCAACCCTGCATTCTAAACAGGAAATAGAGTTCTCCGCTATGAGCTGCGACATGGACGGTAAGCGCTGCTCTGCACTTTCGGTAACCAGCTTGGATCGGTGTCTCTGCTTGCCGCATTGAAAGCGCCTGCTCGCTGTAAAGTTGTCTCTGGGTTTTGGTGAAGGTGGAACCAGCTATATTGTGTATGGAGATATGGGGGGAGGTGTGGTCAGGTCCGTCCCGTAAGGGATGGTTTTGTTTATGGTCTCTGGTGGTGCTCCAGGAGACATGGAGAACCAGCTGGAACTGGAGGAGAAGACGAGACTCATCAACCAGGTTCTGGAGCTGCAGCACACGCTGGAAGGTGAAGGCAAGACCGGAGTCAAACTGTTCTGTACTGCCAGAAGATTCCCCATAAGATACTCCTGCATCTATACATTTCCCGATATTCTCCTCATTTTCCCAGATCATCCGACTGAATCCCTCCACAACTCCCCATAACATCATTAGCGAAGAGGTTCTGTCAGCCCATCTTTCCTGGATTCCCCATCACATTTTTATCTTGCTGTCCAATTGGCTCACACTTTAGTCCTGACCAGTTGGTCTGATCCGTGTGGGGAAAACTAAAACAGTATGCGCTGGCAGATCTCCCATAGCAATATTAACCAGTCGTTTGTCTCGTAGATCTGTCTGCAAGGGTGGATGCTGTGAAGGAGGAGAATCTGAAGTTGAAGTCGGAGAACCAGGTGCTGGGACAGTATATCGAGAACCTGATGTCGGCCTCCAGCGTCTTCCAGACCACCGACACAAGGAGCAAGCGGAAGTAAGGGATGGGCCCCCAACACTAACTGCCTAGTCCTTGGGGGCCCCCTATTACGAAAGCCTAGTCTCTGGGCCCCCAGTATGAATCGACTAGCCCCTGGGGCACCCCAAAGCAAATTCCCAAGTCCATGGGCCCCTGAATATGAATTGCCCAGTCCCTGGACCCACAGAATATGAACCACCTAGTCCCTGGGCCCTCCCAATACGAATCGCTTAGTCCCTGGACCCACCAAATACGAATCACTTAGCTGCCCAATACGATTCACCTAGTCCCTGGACCCACAGAATATGAACCACCTAGTCCCTGGGCCCCCCCAATACGATTCACCTTGTCCCTGGACCCACAGAATATGAACCACCTAGTCCCCGGGCCCCCCCAATACGAATCACTTAGCTGCCCAATACGATTCACCTAGTCCCTGGACCCACAGAATATGAACCACCTAGTCCCTGGGCCCCCCCAATACGAATCACTTAGCTGCCCAATACGATTCACCTAGTCCCTGGACCCACAGAATATGAACCACCTAGTCCCTGGGC